ATGTCCATTAATTCTTTTGCGTAGAGACTGTCCGGTTTGGCCAATGTACATGGCAGAGGGGCATTGCTGGCACATGATGGCATATATCACATTGGTAGATGTGCAGGTGAACGAGCCCCTGATGGTATGGCTGATGTGATTAGGTCCTATGATGATGTCACTTGAATAGATATGTGGACAACTAAACTCTAAAGCGAATCGCTGTATCTGATTGGTTAGCTGAGATGAGAGTGGGTTGGGAATGGAAAAGGAGGAATGGATTTTTTTTTCTGATTTCAATCCACCCCCACACAACCTCTGAGCTATTTGTTACTGAAGTTTTCATATCCTTATTAAGATACTGATGATGATTTTTAAATTGTCAAAACATTTCTGTTAGTATTAGAATTTTTAAGGTGAAGATCTGGTAGATAGGAAACAGAACTCGACCACAGGAAATCTGGGTTCTGTTCCCACTTGTGCCACAGATTTCCTGGGTGACTATAGGCAACTCACTTCATCTCTATGCCTCAATTCCCTGTCAGTAAATGGGGATGCTTCCTAATCAAACAGGGTGTACAGTGATGATAAGCTCAGTAATATATGTGAGGCCCTCTGATATAGAAGGGCACTGCATAGGAACCTAGAAAGGGATTTTTTGTGTTTTCCCCCAGACTACATTTTGAGCCTCAATTACCACTGCCACTTTAAATGCAACCAAAGTGTTGTCTGATAATTAAAGCACTGGACTGGGAGTCAGGAAAGCTGAGGTTTAGTGCTGCCACTGACTCACTGTTTGACCTTTGGCAATTCACTTAACCTCTTTATGCCTCAGTTTCCACCGCTGTAATATGGGGATAATACCTTCTTTACAGGAGTTTTTTTGAACATTAATTAAAGCTGGTAAATCATTTTGAGATTTTAAGTTGAAAGGTGGTAGAAAAGTACACAGTATTATTAAAGTCAGAAACCGAGCAAGAGCAAAATCATCACTTCCAGTCTTATGCTATGATTCAGTGCAACATCAGCTTGGTAGTGAAAGAGCTCCTGTTGCGAAAGAAGAGAAAAAGCAGCTGTTCACTCCAAGACTGGACAAAGCCCAATCCCCAGTGCAGGCTATTACAAAATGTGCAAAAGAAGCTGAACCTTCCCAGAGAATTAGTTTTGTGAACAGAAGATGGTGACAGCAAACATGATTTGGAATAACTAAATCCACAGGAGCAAAGGGTAAGCTTTTTAAAATTCAGTAAGAGTGCATGTGTGCTGCTGATCACTTTGAGTTCTACAATGATACAGATTATGGAGAAGATCGTTAAATCCTAGCATTCAATGGTTCTGTGCTATCTTGAACTGAGCTTCCTGCAATGTGCTCATTGGGATTCATCTAAAGCCCTGCCACTAGGCCTATCACTTTTTATGGCTGATTTCCTGGGTTTATAGATAGGATGCCCCTAGCACATTTCCAGGATACCGAACATTCTGGGAATGGTGTGGGCCTGCCCCTACTGGGGCATGATTTTGCACACACAATGCATGTGAGGTCAAAATGGGGGTGCCATTTTGAACAGCACTCTGCCCAGTCCCTCTGGCATGACCTCACATGCACAGTATGCACAAGGTCATGGCTACAGGGGTGGAGTGGTGCACTCTCCATTATGGCATCCCTCTTCTGACACCAGATAAAACCACACCCCATTTTATCTCAGTACTGGATGAGGACAAACATTGCAAAAGCAGGTCTGGTTAAAACTGCATGAGTAGCCTGCCTACTTATAGGCCCAAAGCCACAAAGGTATTTAAGCACCTAAACCCCAGATTTAGGAGTCTCAAAGTTTGTCGCCACTGCAGTAGGACAAAACTCTCACTGAACCATGTAGGTGCCTAAACTCACTTGGCACCTAAGTTTTCAGGGTAGAAGTTCCCTAGGCACCTACATTTCTGCTTTGTGGGCACACATACTGCTCCCTTCCTGTAAGCGACTGGATACCTACTTCCCACCTACGGGCTTCTCTTCATGTACAATGCTACAGCTGCGCAGCTGTGCCATTGTACTGCTTGAGTGAAGATTCTTCTGTCGGCAGAGTTAATCCACCTCCCCAAGAGGCAGGAGCTATGTCAACAGGAGAAAGTCTCCCGTTGACATAGTGCTGTCTACATGGGGTTTGTGTGTGTGTGTTAGGTCAACATAACTACGTTGCTCAGGGGTGTGAATTTTTCACATTTTTCATAATATGTAGTTATACCAATATAGGTCTGTATTGTAGATCTGGCCTAAGCCTGAGAGTGATCCACTAATTAATGAAAGATAAGTGGACCAACATCTAAGTTGCATGCAGGGCCTGATCTGGTAGGCAGCTTCTGAAAATGTGGATAAATACTTAATAAGTGGGCGAGAGAATGATTCTGCAGTCCAGTGCTTAGGGTACCCATCTGGGCTGTGAGAGCCCCGGGCACCAATCACTCTTTCATTAGTTATCCAAAGTGGAACAGCTTTAAGAGGAGAGATTGAGAGAGACCCACATAAGAATATCCCATAGCTCAGTGGCTAGAGCACTCTCCCAAAAGGTGGGAAGACCTCTGTTCAAATTCTTTCTCTCCCTCTGCCCGAGGGGGGAAATTGAACCACATCTCAGGCAAATACTCTCTTGGCTAAAAGTTATAAGGTGGGGGGCAGCCAGGGCTGTCTTTACCCGTACGTAGGGCTACCATATGTCCGGATTTCCCCGGACATGTCCGGCTTTTCGGTCTATAAATAGCCGTCTGGGGGGGATTTTTAAAAATCTAAAAATGTCCGGGATTTCCCCCCGGTCGGCTATTTATAGATAGAAAAGTGGCGGCCAAGCACCGCTGAGCACCCAAAGCCCCTTCCCGGCTCCCCCCATCCCCTGCAGCCTTACCACGCTGTCCGGCCCCGCAGCTGTCTTCCCCCTCCTCCCCTCCCCTGAACGCTCCGCCCACCTGCTCCTCCCCCGCCCCTGCTTCCTGCAAATCAGATCTTCGCGGGAAGTCTGAAAAGAATTAGGGGCAAGCGGGAGGCAGCAGCAGGTAAGCTTGGGGGGGGGGGCGCGAGGAGGAGAGCTCCGGGGAGGCCCGGCCCGGCCCTGGCCGAGCGGCGCCTGGCTGCCCCAGCAGCTCCGGCCCGGCTTGGGCCCCAGCACCCCTGGCCCGGCTCGGGCCCCAGCCAAGCATCTCCAGCCCGGCCCCAAGCCCCGCAACCGCGGCCGGAGCGCAGCCCGATTCCTGGGCTCTTTAAAGCCGGCCCTGGTCAGGGGACAGGGAGGCGGGGTTGGGGGGGCCTGTCAGGGGGGCAAGGGTGTGGAGAGGGGTTGGGACAGTCAGGGACAGGGAGCAGGGGGGGTTAGATGGGTCTGGGGTTCTGGGGGGGCTGTCAGGGGCAGGGGTGTGGAGAGGGTCGAGGCAGGCAGGTAGCAGAGGGGGTTGGATGGGTCAGGAGTTCTGGGGGTCCTGTTGGGAGCGGGGAGCAGTTGGATAGGGCATGGGAGTCCCTGGGGGTGTGTCTGGGGGCAGGGGTGTGACTATGGGGTGGGGGTGTGGCAGTTCCCCCTGCCCCCCAAGCCAGCCCCCCCCCCACGAGGGGGCTGTGTAGGGCCCCAGAATAGCTAGGGACAGCCCTGGGAGCAGCCACCATCTCTTTTCCCTTTTGTGTATAATGAGGCAGCCACCTAGATCATTTTTGCAAGAATCACCTTAGATGCCTAATCTACCTGAGTTCAGGCACTGGGTTCCCACTTGTGGCTCATTAAGCAGACCTAGGTGCCTCCTGTAGCCTGGACACAGGCACCTGTCTTTATGAGCGGCTAGGACTTAGAACACAATGCTCTCATGCGCATCTCCCAGTAGCTAGCTTAAAATGGCTCTCTTAGATGCTAGGCATCTGTCTTTCCTCCCATATTGTACAAGGAACCTAGATGCCTAATTCAGGCTTTGGGGAGTGCAGTGGTGTTCCTGTGATTTTTTTGTTTTACACATCTAAAAGTTATGCAACACGTTGCAATGCCACAGTCCCTTTGTGGATTCCAACTCCATTGGCAGTTAGTTCTCTCCTCTCTTTGATAGCCGAGAGAGGGTCTTTAGAGCCTCAGTGCTTAACTTTTTCCACAAGGGCCCTCCCATCCCATTTGGCACCATAAGAAAAGGCAGCATGTGCCTGCCTCCCATGAACCCGCTCTCCCCCCAGCCTGCGAGGCAGTGAGCAGCACTCTGGCTGGCTGCACTAGACCTAGGTGCCACTGCCCCTTCATCTTAGTTTCTCTCTGCCTAGGCTAGAGCCACCCGCTAAGTCTCCTGGGTAAAGTTAACCCGAGGGGCAGATACACGTGTCCCTATGACTCTTGTTTACTATCAGCCGAGCGCTTCGCGGCGCATTTTGGGGCTTGTTGTCCAGCTGCCGCCTGTTTAGTAGCCCACGATGGAAAAAGAAACTGCATCTCCCAGACTGCAGGGACTTCGCCACTGACCAATCGGAACGCGTCTTTAGGGTGATTGACGTGCCATTCTGTGCAATCGTCTGCGCAGGAAAGTCAAAACACACCCGCCCTGTGCGGTGGAATCTTGACGGGCAGGTCAGAAGGCCAATAGCAAGAGGCCGTGCCTTGAGTCGTGTCTACCCTAGCCACTGAGGACGAATCCCATCGAGGGGGGGCGGGGTTTCATGGAGGGGGAGAGCGACCGGAGGGGGAATCTGCGGGGAATCTCGAAATGGCGACGGGTTTGGTAAGTGCTGAAAAGTTTTGGGCTGAGGCGAGAGGGGGCCAGGACGGGCGAGAGCGGCTGGGCTGGGGCAGGAGAGCAGGGACCGCTGTTGGGGGAGGCTGTTGGTTCGGCTCCCCGCCTCAGGGGCCACCGGCTCGTTCCCCACCCAGCCGCGGGGTCCCGATTCGCGGGCTCCTGCCCAGGGCCGGGACTCGACTCAGCGCGACCCACATTCCGAGTCGATGTGTCTGTCACGGGGGGGGCGGGCGGGACCCTGAGCGCCCCCCGCCGGCGCTGCCGTGCAGGGGCCTCCGAGCGCAGCGACCACCCCGCGGGGAGCGCAGCGGGGCGCCAGCGAAGTCCTGCGCAAGTTCGGCGTCCGGCTGCCTGTGCCAGCCCCCGCCGGAGGCGCGGAGCAGCGCTGCGTGGCCCCTGCACGGGGGGGGGCGATACCTGAACCGGAGGGGATCACATCCGACAGACGGGCAGAGGGCCCCCGGGGAGCCCTAGTGCGGGTCCGCAGCCGCCGGAGGGGGGGGCGCGGGGCGACCCCACTCTCCCCATCCCCCACCAGGCTTGTTGTTACGCAGCTTGAATGAATGGGCCTTGCGCGCATGCGCCGTGCTGGGCAGAAGTTTATAAACAAGGGCAGCTTCCAGGCGCTGATCACATGACCGGGGGGGGGGAGAGGGAGGACTGGCAGCTGCGGAGCCTGTTTCCTCCCTGCAGCCTGTGGCTAACAAACCCTCCAGCCGGGCCTTGGTCTGTCACCGCGCGACTCCCTGCGCTCGCCCCTGCGGGGACAGCCTTACCGGCGTCGGCTTCGCTCAACCTGCCCACTGGGCTTGTGGTTCATTGCCTACATCCAGGCTTCTTTGTCTTGTGAGTCAAGGACAGGCCTTTCTACTGCTGTGTGTTTGGACAGTGGCTGGTTGCAAGTGCTGCTGCAGTATAAATAAGAATAACCCCACATCCCGTTCTGGAAGTTGGTGGTTGCCTAATGACCATGATCTAATTACATTTATTAGGGGCAAACCGAGGATAGTCCCGACCAGTAGTTTGTATAGCGCAGACCCTCCCCCCTCTTTATCTAGTCTAATTGAAACGGGCTAGATCAGATGATCAAAAATTCAGAGATAATCTGGAGAATGGGAACGTGAGAGGACGCGGTGCCATCTAGCGGCCCTGGGAGAGATGGCCTGCTTCTGGACCTGTGTGGGCTGAGGTGAATTATGAGCAAAATTTAGACAGAAGAATGTGAATGGAAATTGGGGGCCTTAAAAGAAAAAATTACTAGCTGGCTGAAAAGCCATAAATGCACAGGACAACTTTGGGTGGATGATAAGCAATGATTTCTTGGGGGAAAACAATTTTTGATGTTTGTATTTGAATTAAATACAGGTATAGAGTGTTAAACTAGCTTTTGACAGTAGCTTCTTCTGAAGGTGCAGAGAGATTATTTTCGTTTTAGTTTATTCAAGTAGTTTAGGTCAGTGACTCGCAACCTTTCCAGACTACTGTACCCCTTTCAGTAATCGGATTTGACTTGCATGCCCCTAAGTTTCACTGCACTTAAAAGCTATTTGCATACAAAATCAGGCATAAACATACAAAAGTGTCTCAGCACTGAAAAATTGCTTATTTTTCATTTTTACCATATAATTATAAAATAAATCTATTAGAATATAAATACTGTACTTACATTTGAGTGTATAGTAAGTATATAGAGAAGTATAAAGTCATTGTATGAAATTTTAGTTTGTACTGACTTCAACAGGCTACATAAAATGCGCTAGTGTAAAACTAGGCAAATATCTCAATGAGTTGATCTATCCCTGGAAGACCTCTGCATATCCCCAGGGGTAGTTTACCTCTGGTTGAGAACCACTGGCTTAGATCAATGACTAGTTAATTCAAAGTTCGGAAACCAATTCAAAAGCTTGTTTTCCTCTTCCATCTGTGAATAAAAACAAGGTCTGAGAGAATGAGCTACCAGTTCTAAAATCTTGAAGAACATGGTGACCAGAAACAATCAGTTCAATTCACTAACTACAGATATTTCCTTTGTTTAATAAACGAGTTAGTTTTATATGTAAAACATGTTTTCATAATTTTTTAATAAAATTTTATGTATCCAGTACAGCAAATGTAGTTTTATTTATCTTAAAAAACTATTTTAAAATGTTTCTGTGCATTTAATTGAGTTTTAATTCCCATCTAGATAGAGCTTGACACAAATCACAAGTAAAAAATTAATAGTCATCTAGGATGCATCATTCACTATTTCTGACGTAAAAAATTAAGAATCTGAATAAAAGTAAATTAAGTAGATTGCGCAAATTAATCTCTGTATATATATTTAGATATAGTTTTCTCCTGGTTAGCAAAAAAAAGCATGAAATTTAGTGTGTATTTAGGTGCAAATCAACATGTTTTAATGGTTACCAACCAAAAAGAACTAACCTTTCTTTAGGAAAATAACTAAAAAGTACAATTGCAAAACAAGATTAAAATCAATTATTTAACTCAAGGTTTTCTGCTCGCTGATTTAAATTATGATTAAATTCAGTGATTTAAATCATTTTGATTTTAAATCAATCCACCCGGACACTAGACGTTATTGAACATCCTCCTCAGTTATAATCAACTGAAAAATACTTCATCTTCCTTATATGATATGAATACTACCATCCTTCTTTTTTCCAAATATAGAACAGAAATATTTATTGTACGCTTCTGCCTTTTTTGCATCATTATGAACACTTCTACCATCTCAATTTAGTACTGAGCTTATACCATTGCTAGGATTTCTTTTGTTCCTGGTATACTTAAACTCCTTCTTGTACTTAGCCTTGCCAGCCATGGAATTTTTTTTAGGTTTCCTTATCAACATTACGCACTTCATAGCTTCTAAAATATGCAATTTGCTATCTATGTCTCCCTCTCTACATTTGTTATATATTGCTTTTTTATTTCTAACTGTTCCCTTTATATGTCCACTGAACCAGGCCATGATGGACTATTAGCCAGGGTGGATTGATTCAAAAAGTAAAAGTTTTATAACAGTTATAACATGAGTTATCAACATCAGATGTCAACATATGCAAAATAAATATTCTTAAATAAAACTTTAGGTTCTCAAGCAGCATTTTTCTTACTTTGCCTGTCTGTAAATTTTGATTATTGTAGTTGGAAATATTTTCTAATCAGTTTGTATGTGTATGGTCAAATCAACATTTACTGATAAAAATTGAATACTTCCAAGTCTAAAAATATGCTTAATCAAACACAAGTTATTGGGCTCAATGCAGGGATAACAGGATGAAATTTAGTGCCTGTGATACAGGAGGTCAGACAAGATGAATTAATGGTCCCTTCTGGCCTTAACATTTATGAAACTGTAATTCACACCTAGTCTCTTATCTAATATGTCTTCTAAAGCGTGGTGGTTCACTCGTACAAAAGTCAAAATGAAAACGGTGTCCCAGTCCTCAGAAGCTTATAGCATTTTTAATTTCTTGCAGTAGGTAGACATGCTCCCCTTTCCTGTCCAACTTTCTAAAGACTTCCAATGCCCCTTAAAATCTGGCCTATGAACTGCATGATCCTGGAGTAATTTGGGGGTTAAATAAAATGTATAAGCATGTACATGCAACTTTCATTTGGAGATAATTATGCTGTTATCCAATTCAAACAGGTAAGAGGATCCTATGTGTGGCATTTAAACGGTTTGTGTAGACTAGCACTTCTTTGACCCTCCTCAGAGAATAAAAGACAGCTTGTAGAATTGGATAAAGCCATTGGAGTTCAGTATGTCTAATTCTAAAATACTCTGTATACAGCATAATATATTGTTTTACTGGATTTTCTGAGACTTTGGCAGTTGGTTGAGGGGAAAATAATGCCAAAAGGAAAACCACAGGATATAGTTTCACCCAAACATCCCGGCTCAATGTGGCTTTGGTAGATGTTGCTCATCTTTTGCCAGAAGTCTCACTAAACCCCATTTTTTGAATAGAGATACTTATCCATTTTAATAGAAGGTATATATCCCAATAAATAAACTCATTAATTATTGTCAATTTCTTAAACATGAACAGCTCAACTAATTTTTAAAAGTTGTGTTTATACAGTCATTCACATTTGTCTTTGTTGACCAAAGGAAATAAAATGTTGTTACAATGTTGTGCTACAATTCTGTACTTCTAGCAAATATATTTATCACAAACGTTTTTGAGCATGAAACTGAATTAAAAAGAAAACCATCTGTACTCTCAGGCTAATTACTGTTTATTCCATGGCAGTAACATCCTAGGGGAGAGAAAAAAGCATATGATGCCCAAATCAGACTTTAATCTACCAGGATAAAACATTGCAAAATGAACTTGGACCCATTTTTTTTCTTTCTTATTTGTCGAAGGCGTTTCTAGACTTTTGCATACGAGAGATTTTTGTCTGGTAAAATTATTGAGAGCTGGAAACATCAACTCATTTGCTGACTGGACCTCATGCACCCTGTACAGGTTGTATTGGTCATAGGCTTTGAATTTTATTAGGTAAATTTTATTATGAACTTAGCATTTGTTTTAGAGAAATATCTTCCCTGTGGAGCAACTAACTCCGTCATTTTGGCAGGGACAGAAAAATCAAGGAGAAAAAAACAAATCCATGGAAGAAGAGAAGGAGGAAGCAGAGAGAACACAAGGGACAGCAAAACTAGGTGGAAGGGAGGAAAAGAAGGGCATAGACAGAAAAGAAGAGAGAACAGCCTCAAGAACGGATAGTACTCTGATTTGTTGTGATCCCTTCTCCACCTCCTCATGAAGGGCCAGACCCAGATGGAGGATGGGGAGAAAAAAGCCAGAAAGAAAATAGAATGAAGGAAGGAAATAGGGATGGTAAAATAAAAATGACATGATGCATGTAGCATTTAGATAATGATGTTTATGTACATAAATCACTTTCTTCATTTCACTGTGTAGTCCCCTGAAGAACGCCCAAAGCTCTGTTAGAACAAATTCTACTTTCAGCTACACAAGTCTGAGTTGAGTAATTAGATTATAACTGACTTGGAAAATGTGACTGCATAGCTGAACAAATTTGGAGTGGGAAGCAAGGTGATGGCAAAATATTGATTAGGAGACTTGAGTCAAATTATTGCTAATGCTAGACATAACTAGATCGACAGAGCAGGTATTTTTTTAAAATTGCATGCCACAGTAGCGATTCTCTCCCCCTTCCCCTCCCCCCCTTTTCTACCCCAGTTTGCCTTTTCAGGACTAAAATGTGTTGTGCAGCATAGATGTCTTTGAATTGATTTTTTCCATATATGAGTTCTTTTTAACCAAATTCAGGGTGTTGGCGCTTCCCAGCTGTGTGATATCAAATGATGGCTTGTCTACATTGGTAAAATCATGAGGCTGCTAATGGGTTCCTTAGACTAGCCAGATCTTTTAGAGGTGTTTAATCTCAATCATTCCACTAATAATCTGTCAACAGGTGTGTAGGACAGACCAAATAATTCAGTAGCAGAAGACCATTATTGGCATAAGTTGTCAAAAGACAGCTGTCATCTTGGACAGCTTTTGGTTGTGATCGTTATCATTGGGTTTGGCATTATTTATAAAGTACTCCTTTCTTCTTCTCCCTTCACATTGTATGAAAAAATGAATTTTTTCATACGATAAATCCTTCTAATAAAAGTCTTACAAATTGGTATTATGTACAAGATTCTATCGCTGAGCATTTGATTAAAGTATAGAGTTTTACTAAAATATGAGCATGCAGTTTTATAACTTTAAGTAGATGGTAGTAATCAGTAATCACAGCTAAAGCTATAGGCCATTTTCAGACATAGATGTCTAAAGTTAGGCATCCAGGCCCTGATCCGTCAGGTCCATATAGTTGATGGGCATTCATTTTGTTCACAGGTGAGATAGAATGAAGAAAACTGTTCCTCAGGGCAGCCTCCCTGAAACAAAGCATTCCACTATTCTGATGTTCTTCATTTCTACTGTCCTCATTGGAGATGCAGCAGGCCATGCTTTCAAGAAAATTCTTCCAATAGGAATACAAATACTAATTTTTACTGATAGCTTCTGTGTTTTCCTTTCTGTGACGTTCGTGGTGAAACTGTTGTGGGGTTTGAACTGATGAGAGCTGAACAGCAGTAGTAATGTGCTTCCTTGCATTTTGCTATGAATAAGGGATAGCTATATGCCAAAGTATGAGGAGAAGTTTGGGAGTCCTTGATGCTGTTGACCACAAAGTGTTGCTGACAAGGATGTGGTTTCTAGTAAGGGTGGATAGTGTTGGTCATGTGGCTGTGCAATTTTTTAATAGTATTGTACAACTCTGATTGAAAAAATGAAAAGACTCCCACTGACTCCAATGATAGCTGGATCAGGCCTTAAATGAAAGCTCCCCGTGGGCAGTTATTGGCAATTGTTCTTCTGCTTCTGAAGTCCCTCTTATGCAGAATACCACGGGGCATTATTTTGCAATCCTTCTTGTTGAATGTATATGTGAGGCAATTAGAAGTCCTGTTTAGCTCTCCTCAGCTTGAAAGGACACAGATTCTACAGTAATATAAATAATAATAATAATAAATGGTGAAGGATACTCATGGCCCCAAAAGTGCCTCTGCCATCAGGTTTCCCCACTATAGAAAACATTAATGACTTAATAGACATGCAAAAACTGGCCATAAATGAAAATAAGACAAGTGTGCAATAGTGTCAAATCATTTAATTGTGGTAGCGGAAGTCTATTTGTAGTGTGGTTGTGGTTGATTTTCAAAGGAACAAATGGGAGAGTTAGGCTTAACTGTCCTGTATGCCTTTGAAAATCTTCCCTATTATTATTATTATTGTCGTTTTTTATTATTTATATTGTGGTAGCATGTAGCAGCCTCTACCAGGTCAGGGCCCCATTGTTCTAGGCACTGTACATAGTAAATAACAGTCAGCCCAAAGAGTATATAATCTAAAAGACAGGGTGTGAGGTGGATGAAACAAGTTCATAGGAGGGTACGGTAACAAAAATAGGCTATTTTAGCACAGACTTGCTGCGTGCACAGTTGATAGCCAGTGAGTTACGGTAATCTCAACCACAACCTGCTTAACCATTATCAGATGGCAGTTTTCTATATACATAGAGCAGAGGGAAGATAGTCTCACTTCTTAATAGATTATTTTTCAAATGATTATAGTGCATATGGGATGCACATTTAGTTGTCTTGTGGCTTGGAATTTTCTTTGTCAGTTATCCATCTCTTTGTATTCTATCCTGTTATAAAACACCCATGATTACCTTTTCAGTAATACTTTTTGAAAGTAGTCACGAATTATGTTACAGTGGCTTTAGTCCATCATTACCTGAGAGACCAGTAAATAAACCAAATTATTATAGCTAAAAAAGAAAGGTTTGTAATCTTTAGGAAACAGCAGTTGTGCAGAATAACCACCTCCTCCTCTCACAGTTGGTACTAACATTTAGTAGTATTCATAGATTCTAGGACTGGAAGGGACCTCAAGAGGTCATCGAGTCCAGTCCCCTGCCCTCATTCCTTTTATTTTAAATGTTACAGCACCAAGATTTTAGGAAATGAAGAAAGCAAGCTGTCAGTGTAATTAAAATGCGTAATGAAACTTACTAAAATTGGCTTTTTGTTCTCCACTACAACTAAGCATTTTGGTAATACAAGAAGTTAGATAAAAGTAGTAGATAAGATTTTGGATAAGGGAGGGCTTGGTGATAAGGCAACAATTTGTATGTGGAGCCACATGACACACCTAATATTTCATATTTTTTGTGTGTGTGTAATTTTGTGTCTTTTCAAAGTCAGAAAATTTGAAGCATCCTAACATGGTGTGGGAAGTGAAGACGAATCAAATGCCTAATGCAGTACAGAAACTCCTGTTTGTAGTGGACAAGAGAACTTCAGGGATGAGTGAGTCATTGGAGTTACTGAAATGTAATGAGAACCTGCCATCTTCTCCTGGATATGCATCCTGTGATGAGCACATGGAGCTTGGTAAAGAATTTAATAGCTTTCTAAAAGTTACATAAAGGGCCCAGTTCTGTAGTTGCTCCATGTGTGAAATTCCTATTGAAGTCCATGCAAGTTACACACACGGAGTAACAACAGAATCAGTCAAATTTTTCCTCTTTTTAGGTTTACTTCTGTTTTTATAAGTGCAGGAAATATGCATGGTACTATAGTTGATGTATCATGCCATCTTACAGTCCTAAGACACAATGGTTTCCCTGTTTAGCCCATCCACCCCATTCACATACAAGCAGATGTTGACAGAAACTTGCTTTCTTAACTCTGGGCTGTAAGTTTCTGCTCACAACTTCCAGTGAAGTTCTTTTTGTTGGGGTAGAAGTACACAGACAAAGCTTCACATCTCGTCTCCCAGGTCCAAGTCCAAATGCAGATTCGGGCCTAGAGGAACATTTAGCTTCATTCGTATCCTGCTCAAGAAAAGCAGTATATAAATAATTGAGTAATGTGTAATTAATAAAATATTCACATTATATGAAGTTACACAGTAGTTCAGTACATGAAGTACAATAGTGTTATTAAATGACAGGAGTAGAGTGTATATTGACGTCAGTAAGAACTTAAATAACAAATGGGGGAGTCTGCTTTCGCAAGAATGTTTAATATGTAAAATGTGTAGGCTACTGGTCATATGTATGAATAACTGCTGCATTCATGGCTTCTGAAATATCTCTCTCCAGATTAGCTGTGAAACTTTGACAGAAATAGCCCTGGATGTTTATAGTTTTGTAGAGGCTTTCCTGTTAGAGCAGTTAGATTGTAGTGCTTGATATTCATTGAACATTTTAAGTGGTGTATTGTAAAGACACAAAGTAACTTAATTTACTGATTCATCAGGCTCAGACGGATGCTATTCCCCCCTCCCTCCCGCCCCCAAATGTTGGTCTAATGAAACCTTAAAAATACTGCATCTGCTATCGGAACCACTTTTGTATGTATTTATTTGTGTTCATAACTTGATCTCTAAAAGGATATGTTCAGTTTAATTTTTTTATTAAAATTATTGCCTAAAAGTAAAAATGGGCGTTTAGAGAACCATTCTATTAGGGTCCTATCTGCAGTCCTATATAAGTAATATAGATGTGATAAAGGAATTTGAGAAGCACAGATAATTGCTATTTAGAAGGTTTTTTAAGTTACTGTGTCCCTTCTCCTTTTGTTCACCACAGATTCTTTTATCCACTATTGTTAAGTAAAATTCAGCCATGGAAATAAACATGATTTCTTGTGCACTTGTTTGTAGATGATCTTCCTGAACTACAGGCTGTTCAGACTGATACTACCCCATCTGCGCTCTTTCAGCTTGGTACAGATGTTTCACATCAAGAATATTCAAGGCCTTCATGGAACCAGCATACCTCGAATAACAATTCAGAAAGTGCTTATTCTTGTGAGAATGGGGTGAGCTGGTTGACAGAACTGGCAAACATAGCCACTAGTCCACAGAGTCCTCTCATGCAGTGTTCTTTTTATAACAGGTACAGGCATTCATTTTGATTCTTTTAGTTCTAAAATATGCAATATTGTTTATGGTGTTACAAACATTTCCTTTATTCTTCAGAGGACTCTGTGTCCCAACTGAAATTCTGAGCATTACTTATTTTAACCCTATTTTTGATCTTCCCATTCCTGCATGATAGCCACATTCCTTTCCCAGAATACAGCATAGGACTCCTTTTAGAGCCTATTGCAGCAGCTTCATAATTGTCTATATGGGATGAAGTTGAACAGTGCTAGGCAGTCTCTCACCACAAAGAGATCAGAATATACTCGTCCTGCTGTGCTGCTGTATGAGAGACTATAGATATATCTGCATTGCAATCGGGAGATGTGATTGCAGCATGTGCAGACATACCCAAACTAGCATTGATCTAGTTAGATCAAAGCATGCTTGAGTATGTCTACATGTGCTGCAATCATACCTCCCAGTTGCACTGTAGACATAACCTTGTGTCACAAACAGTGGAAGCATAGCATGAGAGCCAACCAGACTTGTGGCAAAGGGTGCTTAGATTGAAAGCTGCTCTGCAGGTTTAGTTGGAATCTGGGGTGCTGGCGTGTTTCTTGTGGCTCTCCTGTCTATGCAGCACCGTCCTTCCACATGTGAGTGTGGGAATGAAGCAGCAGGAGAACTATGGCAATATATTGTATTTTTAGAAGAACTTCTCATTTGGGTAAGGAATGATCTTGTCATTTTTTTAAAACTTTCTGCATTGTTATTGCCAGGCATACCTGGTTGTATTAGAAATTGGCTGAGATGCTAAGGAAAGGTATGGACCAAAGTCATAATTACAGGAGAAAAACTGAAAATAATTGTGTGATGAAAGTGTGAAGACTTTTATGGGGTATGGTAAATGAAGTGACTTACGGAGTACAGATTGCCTAGTGACTGCATATATAGAAGCTTAAGAACCTAAGTTAAATCACTAAACATGGGTATTAAATTGCTCCTACACAATGTGCTAAATGTCTGCCTATTTTGGATGTTCTGATTTAATGATAAATTCAACTGTGTATAAGGGAAAGCTATGTGTGTATATGGCTGTGTGTAAAATGTGAACACAGGCAAGATGTTTATGCACAAAGTTTGGCTGTAGACAAAGAGTATTGTCTTTTAGATTGAAATTTATATATGAAAAATAATTGTAAAAGAAAATCTATTTAGAGTAATACTAGCATAATCTTGTGATGCCAAAATATCAAGTTTTATTTTAATAAAAGTTAATTTTTCATTGTAGATCATCTCCTGTTCATATAATAGCAACAAGCAAAAGTTTACATTCCTATGCACGTCCTCCACCAGGATCCTCAAAGAGTGATCCCAGCTTCTCTAAGCATCACTTAGATGAAACATCAGTCAGACATGAAAGGGTGAGTTGTCCTGAAATGCTTGTTAAAGTATGTGAAGAATCAGGACAGGCAGGCAGAAGTTTTCAGAAACAGAAGAAAGTACAAGAATAAAAATGTATACATTCCTAAAATCCTTCCTATTGTAAGCAGGGCTTTGGAGCGGAGCCCGGAGCTGGAGCGCGGAGCAGCTCCGGAGCAGTGGAGCTGCAGGTTTTTGCCTGGAGCTGGAGCGGAGCAGGAGCACAGCTCCAAAGCCCTGATTGTAAGGTTTTTTTAGCACCAGCATTGTGGCTGTACACGACACAAATATAAGTCTGTAATCTCCTTGGGTAACAATCTAAAACACATACAGAGTAGGTGTACTAGGAAATGCAGAGGAGGAAATAACAAGTTCTTGTTATTTAATTATTGTATTTTGAACCTACATGTGTTGATATTGTGAAAGAGGCGATGCCCCAGACCTTTAAAGATATGAACAAAGGACCAGCCTCAAGATTATGCTCTACATTGCCATTAGCGTTCCCTCTAATTTTTTATGTCCATGTGCGGAATGAATTTTGTTATGTGCACCAGTATGTGTGGGAAGGGGCTCATGGCTGGGGCAGAGGGTTGGGGTGCAGGGGGGATGAGGGCTCTGGGAGGGCATGAGGGGATTGGGGTGTAGGAGGGGACTCAGGGCTAGGGCAGAGGGTTGGGTGCGGGCTCTGGGATGGAGCCAGGAATGAGGGGTTTGGGGTGCAGGCTGCCCCGGGGCTGCTGTGGGGAGAGAGGACTTCCACTCTCCCCGGCCCTCTATCGCCACAGCAGCTCGGGGCTGGGTGAGAGACGCCTCTCCCCGACTGCAGCAGCTCCGGTAGGACTGGGCTGGGGGAGGGGCTCCTCTCCCAAGCAGCTCTGGCAGGCCTGCGCCGGTGGCAGGGCTCCTCTCCCCGGCAGCTCTGGCGGTGCTGGAAGGGGGCGGGGTGCCTCTCTCCAGTGGGGCGGGGCCGGGCCGAGGGAGGGGCGCCTCTCCCCGCCTGCTTGCATGGCCTTGAGAGGTTGCTGTGCAGCTCTACAGAGAATATAGATTGCCATGTGTGTTTTTCAGCTCTAACGCCTGTCTGTTGGTCTTTATGTCTGATCCTGTTCCCACTAAACTCTGTGGCAAAACTCTCATTGGCTTTAGTGGAAAGAGTATGACGCTTTGGAGACTGACAACACATTTAGCCACATTGTGGGATGATGGGATGCATTGGGTATTGGAAAAGTATTTCCTGTAGCTGACTGAGGAATGGAGTTGAAGGGTTGTGAAAAAAATGGTGTCTAGACCTTGGCCAGAAAGATGATGGCTCTGTTCCGCAAATAGACAAGCATGAAATTGAGCACCGGTTCAGATTGACTCCCCTTGCCTTGAGCCTTTGTATCCCTATTTCCAAGGAATCCTCATTTTACAATCCTCAGCTTGAAGTCAGTGTGTAAAAGTTAAGCACATGCGTAAATATTTTCAGAATTAGCCCTAAAGATATTTGTTAAATCATTTTATATATTTTTGTTTTCTGAATAGGCAAGTAGTGAATCAGAGTCTGGTATTTTCTGCATGTCATCGCTTTCAGACGACGACGATCTAGGATGGTGCCACTCTTGGCCCTCAACTGTTTGGCACTGTTTTTTAAAAGGTAAAATAGCATTCATTGTAGGATCCTTTTTTAATAACAGCTGCTTCTTTTGACAGAAACTTACTGACCTTTTTCTTTTCAAATATCAGGCACACGTTTATGCTTTCACAAAGGACACAACAAAGAATGGCAGACTGTTGAACATTTTATTAGAGCTGAAGGCTGTGAAAATGAGGACGATCTCCTAATGGGAACTTACAAGGTAGTCCTTTAATGTACTGAATCCTTTACAGTAACCGTAGTACAGTGCTTATATTGTGTGCAACATTACCCACGTCTTGTTGCATCCGAAGGGTTCTTTTTTGGTAGATGCAGCTGTGTATTCTGCTTAGGTGTCTGTGTGCCCAGTGCACTGGAGCTGGATAATTTTGCCTAGCAGTACCCGTAGAAGACAGGTGCTCATAAACCCTCCCTTGGCTATATGAGTCAGCGCTGCCATGACCCCCCTCAGTTCCTTCTTATCATCTGTGGCTGGAGTCAGAGCTCTGTGTGGTTCACAACCTCTCTATTTCTTAGTGACTTTTTCTAGTTTGTATATAGTTCATTAGTATCCTTAGTATAGTGTTAGTTAAATTTCTTGTTAGTTAGCTTTAGTTGAAGTATTTTACTGGGGATGCCCTCACTAGGGTTTAAACATTATCTGTCATGTGGGGAAGCAATTCCTGTCAACAGTCTCCACACGCGGTGCTTGCTGTGCTTAGGCGAAGCCCATGTCAAGGAGTGTTTGTTTGCAAATTGTTCACGACATGGATTCAGGTGGTGAGGGATCTTCGTCTAAAGCAGCACCTGCTTGAACAGTCCATGTGGCTTGCTTCAGCTCTGAGGCCTACATTGGATCAGAGGTTGCCTTTGGGTTCTGAGAGTGCTGTCTGGAGCTGGAGCAGACGGGGAAGTTGTTCCCCCTAAGGTGCGCCAAGGAAAAGATCACATAAGACCAATCGAGGCCGTTCAAGATCATCTGCGTCCTCCAGAAGGAGCGCAGACTAGCACAGTGTGAATGCCAATGTGCAGATTGGAGCAGGTTCCGTCAACCACTCCCGGGTACCGTGCAGGGAGGTGAGAGAATCCCTTACCATTGACTACAGTTCCAGCCCCAGGGCATCCGTTGAGTCCGGTACCGACAAGGGCAATGCTGGCACTGACTGTTTCTGCGCCGGTGGCCTATCAAGTGGCTCCTCTGTTTTTCTGTCCTGAGCTTGCCCTTGCTCCAGGCCTTTGCCAGGCTTGCGTTGTTTATAGCCCCGCTGGCTAGGCGGGCAGCTGAAACCTTTGGATCCATCGGCACCGCACCACAGTGTTTCCCTTCTACAGTCAGTGGAAGTGGGGCTGGTGCCGGGCTCAGCATCAGGGAACTCCTTCAGCTCCCCTGCCATTAGTGCTGCACTCACCGCCCTCCACTTTGGCACCATCAGTGACCTTGGACTTCTGCCAACTTTATGGTCAGCCATCGCTTCTAGCTCAGGAAACAATGGAGGCATATTTGGTGCTGGTTGTAACATTTCCACCATCAGCATCAGTTTCCTCTTCATTCTGGGCTATAAATGAGTCAGACCAGTTGCTCACCCCCTCTGGGCTCGCTCCACCTTTATCTCCGGAAGCTCGGGATTCCTAGGTGTCCAGGTTGGTTTATTCCTTCTTTCCATTACCTAACCAGCATTGGGTGTGGAGTGCTATGGTTACCAGGATTGGTATGCGACTTGTGGTCAGGATGGGGCCCCTGGCCTGACACCTTCTGGCCACCAGTGGCCATACCAGTGGCCTGTTCACCTAGTGGCCACCTGTTCATACCAGTGGCCTCCCTGGAATCTGTGGGACGCTCCTTGGTTGCGGAGGTCCACCTCCTCATCTAACTCTAAAGCGAGATCACTGTTGATCTGCCACAGGCCCAGGCACCAGTGAACCTTCCCTTCCAGAGCCTCCAGAGTCGTCCCATCCAGGTCTGACTATCCTGGATCAGGATCCAGCTCTGGCATTTAATGGCTTCATCTTCATCCCTGGACAATTCCACTGTTCCTGGCTCTTCCTCTCCTTCAGTACCAGAGGATTTCAGGCATACCAGGACCTTTTGCGGCATGTGGCTGCTTCCCCGCATATTGAAGGAAGAATTCCTTCAGGAGAATACCCATAAGTTTTTGAATACTCTGCTGCTATCTGCTCCTTGGAGAGTTGCCCTCCCTATTAATGATGTACTCCTAGAGCCTGCTAGGGTTCTGTGGAGCAGTGGTTTTCTCAAACTTGTTTGATTGTGCTGCCCGCCCTTGTGTCTGTAGTAGTTTATGCCCCCCCCCCATCCCCACAAGTATGTATATCAATAGATGTGGCGGCGATGCTTCACTTGGACCAGTTTTTGCTTTGTTTTTCACTTGAGTTTTTTTTCTTTCTGTTGCACGAATGAGCCAATGATCCATTGTAATAAGAGCAAAAGCAAAACCGCAATTGTGGTCCGTGCTTACGATTAAATGTGCACACTGTGTCATAGCAAATCAGTTAATGTACAGATAGCAATGACTTTGCATAATGCTATGCAAGCTTAACAGAAATCCGTCAAAATGCACAGCGCCATCTGAGGACCTGATATGTCTGGAGGAATTAGCTTTGCTAGTTATTCATTGCTGTGGGTAAAATGTGCGCAGTAAGGTTTCCTCCCCCCCCCCCCCTAAATCTTCTCCCCCTCCCCCCAATACATTCTGTGCTCTCCAGCGGGGTCCACCACCCAGTCTGAGAACTTCTGCTCTGGAGCATGTTGGCTTCAGTACCTTCTATGAAGCGCATGGAGAAACGCTACTTTGTTCCAGTGCAGGGATTTCAGGTTTTGTACTCGCATAGGGCCCCAAATTCCCTGGTTGTAACCATAGTGAACAATAGAGCCCAGAAGGGCGGATTTAAGTCCACTTTCAAGGATGAGGACATTAAATGGATGGACCTGATGGGCAGGAAGATTTAATCTCCTTTTCTTTGCAGATGCATATTGCTGTCCGAGTAAGACATGTGAACTGGATGTCTGTGTCTTAAGTTTACAGACCAAGTGCCCAAAGCCTCAAGGGAAGAATTTTGGGTTTTTATTACCGAAGGCTGCTTGGTGGCTAAGACTTCATTGGAGTCCATGCTGGACATTGAGGATACTTTGGCCAGAGTGATGGCCTCAGCAGTGACCATGAGAAGGACATCCTTGCTGCAAAATTCGGGCATTGCTCCTGATGTGCAACAGATCATAGAGGATTTGCCCTTTGACAGCCAATATTCTGCACTCATTCAAGGACTCTAGGACTATTCTACCGTCCTTGGGGGTGTATATCCCGGCAGTGCAGAGGCACCACTACGATGGGTGGCAGCAGCAGCAAAAGTATCATTTGTAGTACACATTTGGGCAGCCTTTTGTTTCCCTAGAAAGGAGCATAGGTCCCAGAGAAAGAAGGCATTCAGCTGTGGGGTTTGGCCAGTTGACATGCCTTGCCCTGCTCCCCTCCCTCCCCCCAGTGCCAACTTTCACTCTTTAGTCTGGAGCAGTGTTCCAGTTGTCGCTCCCTTCTCCCTGTCCCCTCCATTTGGGGACAAGCTAGCTTGCTTTCAAAATGCTTGGGGCTTGATCACCATTGACAGGGGGTTTTAAGCACCATCAAATCAGGCTGTGCCATCCAGTGCCTTTCCATTTCCCCCCCCAGAGGGGACCCCTCTCATGAGATACTGCTCCTCAAGCAGATTCACTCTCTTCTGGCTTTGGGAACAATGGAGGAGCTTCCTCCAGAACGCCACGGTCAGGGTTTCTATTCCCAGTACTTTCTGGTACCCAAATCCAAGGGAGAGGTAAGACCCTGTCTCAACTTTTGCAGCATCAACAAATATGTCCGATACATAGAGTGACCATTTGGAACTTCATCGATTATCCTCCCTGTGCTGTCTCAAAACGACTGGTTTGTTGCTCTGGACATTCGTGGTTACGATTTTGCCAAGCCACAGAAAATTCTTTTGATTTGTTGCAGCTAAGCATCATTTCCCTTTGGCCTCTCTTCTGCTCCTCAGGTTTTTACTAAATGGTGACTGTCCCTCCAGAGGAAAGGAATCCACATCTTCCCATATCTGAATGACTGGTTAATGAAGGACAGATCCAGAGAGGAAGACCTTTCTCATGTCAGCACTACACTGCGCTTCCTCGACCATCTGGGTCTCATCCTAAACATCTTGAGAGTATTTTTGCTGTATGACTTCATTCAGGCGATTCACCACTTTTGCCTTAGTCTGCAGTCTCAGCCTTCCATGAGAGTTGGATGTACCTGAGGCTCTTGGGCCACACATTTTCGTAGATGCAGGTGGCCCAGGTTGCAAAGTTGCATCTTTGCCCCCTTCAGATGTGGCTCAGGACAGTTGACTATCCAATTCTTCACTCCTGGACTCCTTGCAGTGGTGGGCACTTCTGGAGAATGTTTGTCAGGGCATTCCCTTCATCTGGCCCTTACCAACCAGGTCTGTTCTCACCGATGCCTCCCTGATGGATTGGGGAGCACATCTGGGGTCGCTGAAAGTTCAAGGTCTGTGGTTGGAGCAGGAGTCCTCACCATATATCAGCATTCTGGAGCTTTGGCCCATCTACAATGCATGTCACGCTTTTCTGGACTGTATCAGGGGCTCATGGGTCACATACTTACTGACAATACCACCATGTATTATATGAACAGGTAAGAAGGTGCATACTCCAGGATGCTCTGCCAAGAGGAAGTCAGGTTGTGACAGCTCTGCATTGAGGTGAGTATTGTTCCGATAGCCAACCACTTGCCCAGTGTCCAGAATCATCTTGCAGACCATCTCAGCAGGAATTTTTACTTGAGTCACAAGAAGTCCCTGAAGACAAGTATCCTCCACGTCATCTTTGCAGTGTGGGGCATTCTGACAATCAACCTGTTTGCTATGAGGGACAACAGGAAATGTGACCTGTTCTGCTCTCCAGGAGGCCTCAGTCCAGGCTCTCTGTCCAACGCTTTCCAGCTCAGCTGGCAGTCGGCTCCTGTACGTTTTTCCCTCAATCCCAGTCATCCCACAGGTCATCCTTGAGATGAAAGAGGACTAGGGCAAGCTAATTCTCATTGCCCCAGCGTGGCCAAGGCAGTGTTGGTTCTCTGATCTTTTCATGTTGTCAATTCAACCTCCCATACCCCTTCCTCTCCATCCCAACCTGGTCACACCTTATGTCCCCCACTCAGCTCCCTGCATCTCATGGCATGGCCGCTTTCTGGCTGAGTGAGGAGGAAGTGCAGTGTTCGACAGCTGTTCCAGATCTTATGAAGGGTCAAGTGGTCGCTTCACAGATTATCTCTAAATGGGTAACATCCTGTATCAAGACTGCATATGAAATAACTTCAGCTATGTCTCCTCAGTGAGTGTGAGCTCATTCTGCAAGAGCGCAAGCAATGTCAGTAGCATTCCTTCGTGACATCTCAATATCGGAAATTTGCAGGACTGCTCCATGGTCGTCCATATGCACATTTATGAACCTTGACGCCATTATCACATCTTCCAGAGTAGATGCAAGTTTTGGTAGGGCAGTCCTGCAATTCTTGTTTAGGTAGACTCCGAACCCCACCTCCTGAGATCGGTACTGCTTCGACTCATCCAAGTGGAATATAAAGCTGCATCTACTCGAAGAAGAAACTTTTACTTACTGTACCTGTGGTTCTCCCAGACGTAATGCAGATGTGTATTCCACAATCCACCCTTAGTCCCCTCTGCATTGGAGTACGGTCTTGGTGTTCAGTGCAAAGGAACTGAAGGGGGTCGAGGTGGCGCCGTCTCATACGGCCAGGGCAGGAGCTATGAGCATGAGGTGTAAGTGCCACCCCTTCCCCCTCCCCCATGGTGTGACAGATTTTTGTTACCAATCTGCCTGAGGCCACAGTTGATCAGGCTGGGGCCACAGGATCTTTTTTGGGGAGGAGATGACGAGGCACACCAAGTGTCTAAATTTTAAAGCCTTATTGATTAAAAAATAGCAAAGAGTGCTGGGAACGCTCCCACATCACTCAGGGGAAGAAAGAAAGCATTAATGCCCCAAGCCCTACCCACTTTCATACTCACACACGCACGACCCAGACTGGCCAAGTCTGGGTGTAATGTCAGAAGAAGAGGGTGGCGGGAAGGTGGAGGGGAGTGCTGTCCTGGATCCAGGCCGTCCAAGGATCCGCTGTGCTCTCCAAGTTGCTTCAGCTCTCAGGAGGGTTTTAAGTCCTGGGCTCCTTTGGGGGGAGGGGTTCATTCTGCTCCTGGTGCTCTTTGTGCCAGTCCAAACCGGCTTTCTGTGGTCTCTTCAGCTTTCCCCAAAACACACTGTTTCAGGGCCGTGAGACAGTTCTGTTTGTTCCTGGCTGGACTTCACCATCTCGCTCCTTTTCCTGGCCCCGCATTTTGTTCAACAACTTTCCTTTCTCACGGCTGGGCGGGATGGGGGTTGGACTTCCCCCCCCTTCTGTCTTGGCAGGTAGCAGCTGGCCTTGGGCTGGAGTCAGCTTCTTATCTTCGGACTGAGCTTGCTAGCTGCAGTGTTGAGTTAACCCGTACTCTGCTTTCTTCTTTTTCCCCCTCCTCCCCCCCTTGGCCTCTCGTACTCCTTCAAATGAATCTTCCACTCTCCACTCAGACACCTTTAACCCTCCCCAAAATGCTTTGTGATGCTTGCGACAGCGTTGGCAATATACAGTGTTGATCTACCTTCCTAGGGGACTCCCTAAGGGACTCCCTAAGGGGAGGAGGCCATTGGGTTGTGACAGTGGGTACTGCTAGGCAAAATTCTCTGGCTCTGGTGTGCTGTGCGTGCACACACCTAAGTGGAATACACGTCTGCATCACATCTCGAAGTACCACAGTTACAGTAACCATTTCTTGTAAAAGATGCATATTGAATCTGTCCAGTGCTCATCACTATAGTGTCTGAGCACCTGAACATAAAACAACTGAACATAGTACTTATAGATGTGTTCTGAATGTTGCATAATCTCTTACTGGCTTGTGGGGTTCTTCTAACTCTTTGGATGCTGGTATTTTTCAGTGTGCAAGAAAAATGATATGTTTGCAGTATCCACAGTATTAAATTTTTCTGAAAAATCTGAAGCATGGTGGGAGGGATAGCTCAGTGGTTTGAGCATTGGCCTGCTAAACTCAGGGTTGTGAGCTCAATCCTTGAGGGGGCCACTTAAGGATCTGGGGCAAAATCAGTACTTGGTCCTGCTAGTGAAGGCAGGGGGCTGGACTCGATGACCTTTCAAGGTCCCTTCCAGTTCTAGGAGATGGGATATCTCCATTAATTTTTATTTTATTTTATTTGTGTGTGTGTTTCTAGGACTATGGTTCTGATGGTTTGAAGTTGATATCTCATGAAGAAAGTATTTCATTTGGTGAGTCAGTATTGAAGTTGACATTTGATCCTGGTACAGTGGAAGATGGCTTGCTCACCGTAGAGTGCAGATTGGATCATCCATTTTATGTTAAAAATAAAGGTAGGAAAATATTGTATGTGTACAGCAAAACTCTCAGGAGTTATGTAATAAGTTCTTCTAAGACAGTATCTGTAAATCTCATAACCATCTCCCACAGTAGTTGAAAGCAGCAGTATTCCCCATTCACATTACTCTAAATCTGCTTGAAAGAAACACTGGAATTTGAACAATAAAGTTGGTAGAAATGTTGTATGTGCTGTCTCTTCTTGAAAGGTTTAGCAAATATGATAGAGAGCACAGAAAAGACAGAGAGAGAGCAAATAAGGGAGGCTACTTACACTTCCTATATCTAAATGTGACACTTAAGGCTTGGCTACACTTGCAAGTTAGAGCACATTAAATCAGCCCCAGGCGCCCTAACTCACGACCCGTCCACACTGGCAAGGCACTTAGAACGCCTGGACTCTGCAGCTGGAGTGCTCCTGGTAATCCACCTCCACGAGAAGCATAACACTTGCTGCGCCTTGGCTGAAACGCCCCAGCATCAGTGTGAACGAGGTGTTGCATTACTGCACTGTGATTGGCCTCCGGAAACGTCCCATAATCCCCTTAAGTCACGTGGTCACTCTTGTAATTGTTTTGGAATCGGCTGCAGGAATGCAGCTATGCCCTTTCAAAGCTCCTTTTCTGACAGCCAGCATGCGTATCTGCTCCTGGACAAAGCAACCATTAGTGTGGAATGCTGCTTACTGTAAGTGTGAGAGAGAGAGGCGGGGAAGGGGGGTCTGCTGCTGTCTGAACTTACAAGACAGCATGCTGACGCTCTCAGCCCCTAAAAACCCACTTTCTCTCCTCACATACAAACACAACACACTCCTGTCACACTCCCCCCTCCCCCCATTTGAAAAGCACATTGCAGCCACTTGCGTGCTGGGATAGCTACCACAATGCACTGCTCTCTGTGGCATTGCAAGAGCTGCTAATGTGGCCATGCCAGTGCGCTTGAACCTGACAGTGTGAACACATGGCAGCGCTTTCCCTGCTGCGCTCTCCGAGGGCTGGTTTAACTCACAGAGCTCTACATCTGCAAGTGTAGCCATACCCTTAAAGTTGGTAAAATGGTTACTTGGTTTGGTTTTCTGTTCTTTTTTTGCTTGGATAAAAAGCTTGTAAATGAGGTAAAAATGAACTATACCACATCAGTAATTACACAAGCAGAAGTTTCTGACTTTGCTTTTGGGGAAAAAGGTAAATAAAAACTTAATCTGGACTAATACACCGCTACCTCGATATAACGCCACCCAATATAACACGAATTCAGATATAACCTGGTAAAGCAGTGCTCCGGAGGGGCGGGGCTGTGCACTCCGGTGGATCAAAGCAAGTTCAATATAATGCGGTTTCACCTATAACACGGTAAGATTTTTTGGCTCCCGAGGTAGAGGTGTATTTTAAATCCAGTTTTGGGAAACCCAGTTTTTCTTTTGTGCTCTCTGCCACGCGGGATTGGCAGTGATAGATCTCTGCCAAGACATCAGAGCTAGAGCTCACTAGGCTATTTGTCTAATTTAATTATTTACCCCTGCAGGTTGGTCGTCTTTCTATCCAAGCTTGACTGTGGTTCAGCATGGCATTCCATGCTGTGAAATGCATATTGGAGATTTGTGTCTACCTCCAGGACACCCCGACGCCATTAACTTTGATGATTCAGGTGTTTTTGATACGTTTAAAAGGTAACTTCTGAATAAAATGGCTTCATTACTTTTCTGAAGAAAAGTTGCATTAACCCTGTGGACATGTAAGTCTACTAATATGTGAAAGATGTGCCCCAGGAGGAAGAGGAATTGTTTATGATGGTACAAGAGGGTATAAATAGGAGAGTAAGACTTCAGGCAAAATGTCAGAAAACCTTTCTGATGGTGAAATCTGTTTGTCTATGGAATAGTCTCACAAAGAAAGTGGTGGCAGCCCCATTGCTTAGGACATTTCAAACTAGACCAGATAAAGCACTAGAAAATATACTGTATGGAACAGTCCTACACTGGGTGAGGGAGTAGCGTGGGCTGGATAACCTAATATTTGCCATTACAGGGTGCATTAGTTGGCTATTGGCATATGCTTCATATACAACCCACTGTCTTTAGCCATCCGAGCAGTTCCCCAGTAACCAAAGAACCAACCAATATGACATGGCTTTATTGCTCCTGGAAAATGGTTCCTTCATTTTAAATGTTGTCTGATCAGATTTTTGAGAATTCTGCAGAGAAGGAAGAGAGAAAATAGTTTTGATCAAACTGATTTTCCCATACTTCTTTCTTCCTAAATTCCCTAGCTGATTTGAACCCCATCTTTATCCCCATTACCCCAGCAGCTTCCCTTCCAGCGGCAGATTATGGTCCGGTGATCACTTTGATCTTTCCATTTCTATTGGCACTGTCAAAGTTTCCTGTTCCATTTTTTTGGACTAAAACTACTACTGAAAGGGCATCAGGGTTGTTGGGGATGAAGGAAAAATAAAAAACTGCCTGTCCCCTGTCTGGACACTTATCAGGCCCTGTCTAGTTCTTTGGGCAAAAGGAGGAAAGCAGTGAAGAGATCATGAGGCAACAGTTGTGGGCAGCAGGGCAGAGAAAGTTTAAAAACAAAACACTCAAGGCCCCAGCTGTCCTGGGAGTGGGAAGATGGGGAAGCAGCAGGATCACTGGGAGACAGAAAGCTCCTTTCCACATTTCTCTGTCCCTCTTTGAGCTGGCAAACTAGGCTGTCAGCAGCTTACCCTACCCTCTTCCCCTTTTGCAGTTCTTTACTCTTCCAAGCAGATTTTGGATAATGACTATTTCCCATCCCAGAGCACTAAAGGGAGAGAAGAAATCCCCTCTGTAGACAAGTGAGTCACATGGTATCTGTCTGATGCTACTTTGATCTTCTGTTCAGAACAGCACTTCCAGCCTGTATCTCAGCCAGGAAGTACAGGCAGGTGATGGAAGTGCCCAATTCAATTTTAAAAATTGGGGTTTATGGATTATGCACATTTTTAAGTCAGTTTTGTGGTACAAGTTGGTGTTTTAGAGTGATAATTGAATGGCACCTCTTTTTTTTTTTTTTAAGGGCATAGGAACACTGTATTTTAGTCATTTATATTTTCCCCAGCTATGATCAACTAAAGGCCTTAGCACTTGAATGTCGCATAAGCAATTAAGAGTGTCCTGAAACTTGGTGGAATTAGGCAGTGTTGTTGTAGCCATGTTGGTCCCAGGATACTAGAGAGAGAAAGGTGGTTGAGGTAATATCTTTTATTGGATCAACTTCTGTTTGTGAAAGAGTCGAGCTTACTCAGAGCTCTTCTTCAGGTCTGGGAAAGGTACTCAGAGTGTCACTGCTAAATACAAGATGGAACAGATTGTTTAGCGTAAGTAGTTAACACCCTAAATGCCCCAATAGTAACTACGTGGGTGGAAGCAGAAAGTCACTACACTCTTGAATTAACTCACACAGGAAAAGGGTAAAAGTCAAAAACACCTCATCACCTGTGGGTGAACACTTTTCACAAAATGATGACTTTATACCTGGTTTCTCATTCCTCATCCTCAAAGGAAGCCCGCCCAACACTTTCAAAAGACAAGCCTGGGAGCTTAAATCCATAACTTCACTAGACACTAAAAATCATGGACGAACAGAGACACTGGATTTATGGCTTATTACAGCAACCTGTAACCCACTAACAACCTTCCCCAGCTGTTTCCCTTCCACCCCTTCCTTTCTTCCCTGTGACTGAGGGGTGTTAACGGGCCACTTCACCTTGAATGGTCCCTTGAAATGTGTTAACTACTTATGCTAAACAATTTTTTCCACCTTGTATTTAGCAGTGACACTCTAAGGCCTTGGCTACACTTGCGAGTTACAGCGCTGTAAAGCTGCCCCCAGCGCTGTAACTCACTGACCGGCTACACTGGCAAGGCACGTACAGCGCTGTATCTCCCTGGGTACACGGCTGCAGGTACTCCACTTCCCCGAGAAGCATAAGAGATACAGCGGAGTGGCTACGACTCTCCCCAGTGAGTGTGTACCAGGAATCAACCTGCAGCGCTGTACTGATCACCTTGTCAAGTGGCCAATCCTCTCCATTGTTGTGACCGGCTGCAGGAATGCGGAAGTGCTGGTTTCAAAGCTCATACCACGGAGAAAAAACAAACAGTTTGCTGTTTGCTTTGAGTGAGTGAATGAATGAGCAGGGGCCGGGAGTTCGGAACTTGCAAAATAGAGTGCTGACACGCTCCAAAAAGCGCACACTCTTCCCCCCACACTCCCTGTCACACTCCACCCCACCCCCGTTTTGAAAAGCACGTTGCAGCCACATGAATGCTGTGATAGTTGCCCATAATGCACCGCTCCCAACACAGCTGCAAATGTTGCAAGTGTGGCCACGCCACTGCGCTGGCAGCTGTCAGTGTGGACAGACTGCAGCGCTTTCCCTACTCAGCTGTACAAAGACAGGTTTACCTCACAGCGCTGTACAGCTGCAAATGTAGCCAAGGCCTGAGTACCTTTCCCAGACCTGAAGAAGAGCTCTGTGTAAGCTACACTCTCTCAGTAACAGATTTTGGTCCAATAAAAGGTATTACCTCACCCACCTCATCTCGGTGGAATTCTCACACTTCTGCCACTAGAGGGTGGAAGATTATCATCTGTGAATTAAATCATGTACTGTATCAATTGAATTAAATCATGTATTGTATCTGTTAATTTTTCAATGAAAGTTGCTATATAAGTACAAAAGTATGCTAAAGCAATTGTTTGTGAAGACATTGTTTATAATGTTAGTCTCTGTGAGTAGTGTGTTTTATATTTGCTGTTAATATAAAAAATTATAAATGAACTACAGACTTTTTCTGGAAGGTTTATGGAGATGCTCTGTTTTTCATATATTAAATACACTGAAGCATATTATGTATAATAAAAATGTAAATGAGTAACACCTTTATATAGACTTTAGTCCTTCTTTAAGTGCAATTTTCAACACAACCTTAACGATGAAGTCACTACTGACTCTTCCATAATATGTATTATACAAAAGTCTGTATATATCTTAAATGCTATACTAAAACTTCACATAAATACTGATGGGGCTTAGTGAGGGCTCAAATTGAAGGAAAAAAAGTACTCTCCCAGATTTTGTCCACAAACCAAAGTCTTCCCACTTGCAACTTGAGAAACCAGAATCAGATGCCACTCACAGTAAATTGTGTAGAATAGATGTTCAAAATACGTTTAGCTATCTCTGCTGAGTACCACTGGCCTCCTTAGCTTAATTCTTCCTCATTGGGGTTTGAGTAAGGCATGTACATTAGTGATGTAGGAATCTAAGCGGTCATTTAAAAACAATTGTTTCTAGATGCCATGGTTGTAAGGAAAACCTTGAAAAGGTGAACTGATGCAGTGATCTTTGCCTGAGTCTGCTGACAGCCTCTAGCAGAAGGAGCCACTAAAGTCAGGGAGAAAGCTGCCAGGCTGTACATACGTTGCCAGAGCAGACCTGGCCCTTATTACCATGTGGTGAGCTTTGGTGCCCAGTTGGTTTCTGCAGGATTGGCTCCCACTGGTGGGGCTCAGATGCCGTCTGGACTCCACTTTTCCTCTCTGGTCTTTGGGCTCCGAGTCACTTTGTGGGTGAAGTAGTGGTTGTACTCTTCCATGTGCTATTCACTCGAGGTCCTCAAATGAGTTGTTACTGCCAGCAACCATCACATACCAGGCCTTGAGTGCCTTGAGCGCTAACAGAGGCAAAAGCAGAAGGTGGACTAACGTCCAAAGCAGAAATAAAAGAAAGTTGTTCCAAAAGGAGGTGAAATGAGACCAGAACTACAACTGGCATACAAGGGGAGAGTCAGTAGTAAACAACAGCAGATCTTGGACAGTTGCCTCCCACCACCACATTGTGGCGCATCTACCAAAGTTGTTGACTAATCTCTGTACCAAGTCCAGACTAAGTACATCACAGTTGGATGTATGCACGTTTTGGGTGAAGCACAAGAACTCTAAAAATGAACAGTGGAACAATTAATTAGGGATTGTTCAGGAATCAACATAGGTTTTAAAAGTAGGACCTGTAAATTTCATTCTAATTGATTTACTTTCTAATCAAGTGATGTATCTTTTCATTCTAGTTATGATTTTACACCAATGGATTCTTCTGCAGTTTATGTATTAAGCAGCATGGCTCGTCAGCGTCGTGCTTCTTTATCTTGTGGAGGATCGGGCAGTCAAGACTTTGAGAGATCAGAATGCAGTAAAAACTGTGTGGCTGATGGATCATCACAGCTTTCCTCCAGTTCTTTGTGTAGTAAAGCTGGCAAAAGCCACAGCTCAGGGACTGCAAGTACTATGAGTGCCACTTCTCCTAACAAATGCAAAAGACCAATGAATGCCTTCATGCTTTTTGCCAAAAAGTACAGAGTTGAATATACTCAGATGTATCCAGGGAAAGATAACAGGTAACAGTACTCAACTTCTTAGTTTTGACCATATAATTGATCTAGCAAAGTTTGCAAGTCCCATTTTTAAACTTATAGCAAATTAAGTTTCGCAAGTGAAATAAAATGTGTATGTATTGTTCCAAGAAACAAACTGAAAGCTGCTCACATAAGGCCAAACTTAAGAGGAGGCTTCAGACCTCAGTGAACTTGACAACTAGTGTCAGGGCAGAAACTGGTTTAATATCTACTTACTCTTATTGTACTTTATGTAGACTTGATCTTGCCTTCAGAAGCATTTCAGCAATGTTTGTGTGTGTGCAGTGCACACAGACTTTGTACATTTTGGTAAGATTCGGTTCGGGGGGGGGGGGGGGGAGACTGTTGTCCTTTCTGTGTTACAGTAGGGAAAGGGGATTTTTATATCTTTCCTCCCAGTCTCTGATTGTGTCTTGACATAAGATTGTAAGCTCTTTGTGGCAAGGAGTGTTTGTCTTTTTGCCTCTGTCTATACATCATCTAGAACAGTGTGGCCCTGATCCTTGATTAGGGTTTCTAAGTGTTGTTGTAATCCAAGCAATAATGTTTTAACTATTCCTATGCCATTCTTTTGTTTGCACTATAAAGCTTGAAAAATCCAGTTACCTAGTCACCAGTGGTGAGTAATAGGTAGCTATCCCTGGCAAGAAGGGTTAAATTGGTCTATGTTTTGATATGTGTGTAAATTTTATTTATTTATATATGTATATACACACACATACATACAAACAATTTATATATAATAAATGTTTAGACAAAGATATTGATTATATATAAATGTACATATGAGATATAAATAATATGTAAGTTTTTATATCTATATATGTACATAGGTATGTTTGTGCATATTATTTATAAAATGCTTGTGTTTTTATATACAAGTTCTGAAAAGAAATCTTTTGCCTTTATATGAGAATAGAATCATTTCTTATACATTACAGTACTAAACCTAGCAAAAACTAAAGGTAACAGAACTACAGAAATGTAAATTGAGAGGATTAATTGGCTGCCATCTTATATACAAGATGATGGTGGAAATGCTTTGACCCAGAGTTAAGAAATTAAACCCTGCAGCACAAATAATCCCTCTGCTCTGCCATATGATAGAGTTCCATAATGGGTATGGAGTCACTTCAATGATGCATCTTTGCAAATGTGTCTGTCTTCAGATTCACTAAAACGATCACTGAGAAATCAAAACAGCCAATTAGAAAAACATAATATAATTTCATTTAAAATACTGATTTCAAATGGAGCAAGCTGGAACTGCAGTTGGGTGAATTCCAAGGAAGTTTTAACATTTCCATTTGTAGATTTAGGCTGAGAAAAATAACTGAAGATTAACAAGTAACTGACATTCTGGAATGAAACACTTAGGGCCTCAGTGGGAAATGCAGTGCATGGGAACACGGATATGCTTTTGTCTTTTAAAAAAACATAGTGCAGCATCAGTCACTAGCGTTGGGTTTATCGATTCTGCAAACTTGTGACCAGCAAAACAGCCTTTTAGGCAGACTAGTGGAGTGTTCACAAATTTGGATATGCAGAAGCAATCATATTTATTCAAATGTATACAACTGATCAAATCACTAAGAAAATTTTACAGTGTATGGTGTATGTTTAATTACAGCATAATCAAATCATTAATTTGTAAACTCAGGTTCTGACCTTCCATTGCAATAACAGCTATGCCATTTTTGTTTGTTTGTTTTGCTTACACATATTAAATAGCATATGTGAACTGGCTTTCCCAACTGGGTTACGTTTTTGGGGGTGGGGAAGGGGAACACAATGTATCTAACCCATCAAAGGTTAGATTCATCAAGGAGCTTAGGCACGGGGATGCTCAGTGTCTCAACACCTAATTTTTAGGCACTTAGAAAGTCAGTGAGGTTCACAAAGCTTGAGTTAGGTGCTGAGGCTTCCTATAGAATGAATGGAGGAAGCTAGCTGCCTTAAATAGGATTCACAAAAGCCAGTGGACTAGTTGGCTCCCTGCCCAATGTAGCCAATAGGAGTGTTTCTGCCTGACTCCAAGCTGGTGCGAGATGCCTCCCTCTGCTTGGGATTCTCAGTTGCAAAGCCTTTATTGGAGATAGGCACCTATGCTCTTTTTGCAAGCTGTCCCAGGGGAAGCAGGGAGGAGCTCTCTCATAACTTGTAGGCCCGGGCTCAGGGTAATTAAAGAGTTATAGGATTGGAAGGACTAAAACCTGGGTCTTCCACATCTTGGGTGGTTGCTCTAACCAACAGGCTGGAGAGTCATTCTTATGTGTTTGTGTGCGCTCTTTGGCACAATGACACTTTAATTAGTTAATCTAATAATGGAACACCTTCAACAGGAGAAATTGAGGGAAGCCAGCATCCAAATATCCCATAGTCTAGGGGTTAGGTCACTCACCTGACAAGTGGCAGATACCTGTTCAAATCCCTTCTCCCTCAGGAGGTGGGGATTTAAACCATGGTTTCCCAAGTCAATGCCCTAACCACTGGGCTAAAAGTTATGAGGGAGCTCCTCTGCCTCCTGCCCCACAGTTGCATTAGGCCAAGGAACATGTATCAGTCACTGGTTCATGGATCACACTGGGTGTAGGTGTCTGGCTGCCTAAAGCGAGGCAGCAGTGCACGTGCTCAGAGGCAGAAACAGCCAACTTTTACTGCAAAAACTTATGTGCCAAGTATGATTAGTGCATACAAGGTTTGGCAGAAGCTGAGCAGGGGGGTTTGTGAATACCTATGGGGCCTGATCCTGGAATGTAGGCACCTAAAAGGGCACTTAGACACCTAGGTCCTTTTGTGCCTTTAGCCCCAGTCTAATAAAATAGTGATCTGTGAAAACCCCAGTATCTAGGGCAACATCCATTTCATTCTAAGGCTTGAGCAGAATGCTCCTGATCCAAACCGGAGTTAAGATGATGCTTTAAGTGTTTCAGACCTCAGTAAGCTTGACAACCGCCAGGGGTTTATTGCCATGTAGCCATCAGTGGATTTTATCCTGTATGCAAAAAAATTTAAATAATTTTTGAGTGACATGTAAGTTTTGAAAGTGGAACATATCTGAAATACAGCCACTCGTCTTTAGTATAATTGATGGAAACAGATACATAGGTTCAGATAACTTTAAATGTGTAGCAGAAGCAAATTTAATGGCATGTTTAGTGCAGACTTTACAAGGACTAGATCCCAAATTTAGACCTGTAATAATTCCTTCCTCTTTTTAATTCATCGTAAGTAACCATAGCTGTTTGGTTACATAATCAGATGCCTTACTAGAACTTCAAAAGGCCAGCAGATGCTTTTTGGGGCACCCTAAAGCCATGAGTGAGGGAACACAGGTTGCGGGGGAGGGGCAGTCTAGTGAGGGATGTAATTGGACAGGTTTGTGCATGAGTTACTGCTGTCTGTAGAAGAAATTTAGAAGAGGCTTAAAAGGTCATGGAACTTCACTAGCCAGATTTTTCATCAATCTCTGTACTAGTACTGGGTGGTGAGCAGCCATGCTCCATTTCCTCTTTCACATGAAGCTCTTACTTTTCCACCAGATTTGCTGAAGCTCAAAAACCATATAGATTCAATACCTGCGTGCGCAGCTTTGTCTCTTGGAGGTATCAGGTGTCTTGGGCATGAGAGTGTTTTACCGGGCTGCCCCGTACACATTTAAAAAAACTATTTAGGAAGGTTTAACAAGTTTATAACTCCTTGCCCTATAACTACCAGAGACAAAACAATAGTCATTATACCAGTAACCTTTGGTTTAGAGAAACATGGTAAAGTACTAGAATCAAAAATATAGCGGTGGCAGGTGCCCCCAGAGATCAGCTAGACTGTCCCCTCCGATGCTAAGGCTGGACCAAGTATACCTAGACCAAAGCTATAAGCAAGTAATAATCATATAATGTTGAATATTAATATTCAGTAGTCATGCCTGGGTTGTTAAATATGTGTAAGCAGCAATTTCATCCAGTTTAATAAAATGACCAGAAACAGCCTGGATACTGTCAGGCTGCTCACCCAGGCACATTTTCATGCCTTTGCACTGTAAATGGAAGGTCTGACCCCCTTTCTCATTGGCTAATAGCTAGACCTGTATTTAATGCCAAGGTCACTATTTGTAAATCAATTTTCCAGCTTCAGCAGGAGGAGAGGGCAGTATTTGAAACAAGAACTAACTTGTTTTTAAACTGTAGTTTAGTTCCTTGAACTCTGGCTGGCTGAGGTGTATATAATAACTGGTTCAGCGATCTCCATTTGCCCTAATTAAAGTGAGCTGCTGTAGCATGCTTCCCATACATTGGGGAATATATAGAGCATCAGTATCTATAGTTGGAAGCCCTGTAGCTTGAGGTGACGCCCTTTAACAAATTCTTCATTTAGCTGAGTCACAGCATCCTCACTCCATAGCACTTGATGAGGTACCAGTACTAAATGGTGGCTGTCTGAGAGGGGCAGCTTTTGGTGCAATTGGACCATATCTTGAAACAGAGATATTTATGAAACATTCTAACTAAACTAGTGCATGTACATGTAGAACTAACCCTGATTACTTAGAAATATGAACCCTATCATTGAAAGACACAAATTGACCTACCTGTGTGGATTTACCAGAGACAGACTAATGTCTGAGCCTTTGGTCTCAGGAGTCTTCAAAGCATCTTGCAATACAGGCTTAGTGATTAGTAGAGATTAAATTGAGCTTCCATGTTGCTCCCTGGGTGCTGCGTAACCCATAGGGTTCTGGCTGTGGTAGAACCTTTCAGAATTAGTTTGTCTCCTTGTTGGTGTGGAGCAGAGATGTGTGACACTACCCAGACGTGCTTGACGTTGCTGTGCTTTTCCTGATTTTATTAGGGAGCCTGTAAACTGCCGTTTACGGTGAGCTCTTTTACTGATGTGTGTGTCATTGAGAATTCGAGGGGGAGATCACTCATCCCATGTTTTCATGAATCACTAATAAAACATTCTCTGTAATTTAAAGAGGATTTATTAAAATGGTGGGGCTGTGAATTGTATTTTGTCTGAACATCTAATCACCATCATTTTGGAAACAGTTAAGCAATATGGCACAATGAGGGGAGATGTTGTCCAATGGGCATAAGGCCTATTAGGTGTAAGGTAGACAAGTTTTTTTCACGTTAAGCTTTACGAAATAATCAAGGGGTGAGTCATAACATGGTCCCTTACTGCTGTCCAGACTAGAACTTGTTCAAGAGCGTAACAGTCTGAGCTTCCCCTTCCCACACCGGCTAATAGTGGGGGAACTCTGAACTCATCTACCCAGTAGGTCAACCCGTCAACCACAGGGAATTCCATTCTAGTGCGTTTTCATTAAACAAAATCTTTTGTTCGGTTGCAGTCATAGCAAAATCACTAGCCTAATTATGAGGCAGCATCTTTTCAGCAAGTCCTGCCATATCATTCCATAAAATGAGGTGAAAGAGAACAATTTTGTAAATATTGTGTGGTTGTACATAACGGGTGACCAACCAGACTCTTAACTTTCCCACTTTGTTAGATTACAGTATGTGATGTTCAAACTTACTTTTAAATGTCAAAATATGCCCTTCTAGCCTTACTCTGTTTAACAATAGCTGGGATCTTCCCTGTGACTATTCAAAGAGGCATAGGCCAGTCAGAAATATGCTCATACACTGCAAAGAGGAAATTGTTCTTGTGTGCTTTCATGTCTAACATTTTCTTTCTGATGACAGCCTTTTACAAGAGACAAGAAATGTTGTGGGATTTATAAGAAATTCCTGCCTTGACCGTTCTGTAAACATTTATTTTGCAGAGCCATAAGTGTGATACTTGGTGACAGGTGGAAGAAAATGAAAAATGAAGAAAGACGGATGTACACGCTAGAAGCCAAGGCTTTGGCTGAAGAACAAAAACGTTTAAATCCTGACTGTTGGAAACGGAAACGAACAAATTCAGTATGTTTTGTCAAACACTCGACTGCATTACATAGTTTACAAATAAGTTCACACGGTCCCATGTTTTTCTTTTTCTGCAGTATATAGTAATATAGTATAGTAGACCTCCTGCTCTCCTTTGTTGCACTAGCCCACACTTTCCTTTTGTTACTCTATAGTCTTTAACCTGCTGTTGCAGTTGCTGTCACAGTCTGGTCTGACTTGATGACAGAGGGCAATTGTCCTGTTTCAAAGCTGATGCCACTGTGACTATGTATTGGGTGGAAGCCACTCACCCTCATGTTACACCTTAAAAAAACCCACATGAATTCCCCTGGTCTGAAAAGTTTTTTCAAAGACTATGGAGTCTGTAAGGACTTCAACTTCAAGAGCGTGAATGAGACAGCTTTCTCAGGAGTATATGCAGGTGTTGCTTTAGGGCTTAGACAGAAATGCTGCAAGAGCATGGTTGCTTCTCCACTTACTACTGTACATAGAGCCGTCAGTCCCTGGGCTGCACAAAGCACCACCAAATCCCTGATGGTATCACCAGGCTGGCTGCTTGTATCTTTCTGGGCAATTTATCATTCTAGCAGCTACAATGGTAGAATTAAAATTAGAAATTGTGTAATAAGGCAACAAAACTTCATGTAATTCTATTAAAGCTTGCAGTAATCCATTATGGTTTAACTAAAGACTTCTATCTAGTAACTGTATTTTTCCCAGTAAGGTGGTCTTGGGAATCACAATGTGAGATTGCCTGTGCCAGTCTAGCCTTGGGCTGATAAGAGAGCTTAGTGTACATATGCTAGTCATGAGGACCAAATTAAACTCAGCTGCACCTGTGCATTTGAATTGAAATAAATGGATTGTGTGCATGGCCCTGAGAGCAACATTTCAGTCAGTCTTGGGTTGGCCTCAGCAAGGGGGAGAACTTGAACACACTCCTATGTGTTGAGATTTTTCCTGCTAATGCTTTTTGCGTGTGTAGCTACAATGGTGATGGACATCATAGAAATACCTAGGATGAACTACCCCCATGACAAAGCAGCTGTAGCTAGTGATTTGTGCAATTGTTACACCTTGCTTGAGGTTCAGACAGCAAACAAGCTGATTCAAGAAACTCTCCAAATAACTATTTGGCTTCACTTGTTAGTCTAGGGCCAGAGTTAATTGTTAGCTCATTTTGCAACTACCCACATGTCAGCATGTTATTTTTTGCATGCACCTTGATCAGCAAATGCAAATATTTCTGTACGTTCTGTAAATAAATCTTTTTCACATCTCATATTACTTCTGCATCTGTATTTCTCTTTGATTTGTAATTGCTAACGTGGTGTCTCTTTTGTTACTGTTTTTACAGGGCTCACAACAACATTAAATCGGAATTTTACTGTTCTTAACTATATTTACAAAACGGCTGACACATGATGGAGAGATTTATGAAGATCAAGGTCTTACCATTTGTTGTGAATTTGTGAGACCACAAAATACTGGCATTATCAAGTCAGAAAATGATTTAACATGAGTGAGGATTTGCTTTTTACAATAGAGCATTCAGTAAGCTAAAACTATCAACATTTTAAACCAAATTGCCTTATTTTTCTTCCAAACTTCATATATGTCTATCAGGTAATATAGGCTTGAAAATGGATATCCTGTGGTGCTAAGTAAATTAGGAAAAAGAAGAGGAGCTGTGTATAAATGTTTTATTTTTTAAAAATGTACAAAAAGGGGAATTTTAAAATATGTAACAGCTGTTTATACATTGATTTCTATTGCTGATTAATATGTATTGCACAAGCCATGTAATTAATTATGATTCTGGGAGCTGGGATTTCCTGAAATGACAGAAAGCATTAGAGAACTCCTAGTCTGCCCCATGCCAACAAGCTACCAGATTGTGTGGTAAGTGGACAGTGTAGTGTACCATAGCAAGAGAGTTGCCTAGTGGGGTGCCACATATACAAATTATATCCATGGTGTGATGTTTTTGCACCAGCTGACAATACTGTGAGCTATTATTTCCAATGGAAATAATGGCCTGGGCCAGGATGAAATGAATTAATAGCATTGCATTATCTCAAGAAAATATTGCAAATGATGATTGTCACCATTGTACTTTTAACTTTGTGTTTTGTCTCCTCTGCCACATAGTCTATGATTATATATTTTTTTGCCATAAGATATCTTTATGGTGGGGGCAAACTTTGCACTTATGTAGGTGCAACACTTGCACTTTACTTTTTTCCTCCAACTGTCTAAAATTAGGCCAGATACATTAAAATTACAGCTGCTTTTGCTGTAAACTTTTACAATCATGGCTGTTCGTTACTAAACAAGCAGTGTGGTTCTTTTTTAAGAATCACAGCTGCAAATTAATTGTTCATGATACATGTCTACAGGATGTTGCCCCTAAGATTTTTGCACACTATATTCTTGTATATTATTTCAAATAAATTTGTAAAACTTCTTGGTGGTGTTTTTTTTATAAACTAAAGAAGACTAGTCATTAAGTCAGGCCTGCAGAAATACACATTTTAACTATTGCAAATCTGTATAAAGGCTTGTGTAGTTTCATAAAGAACCAAAGATGTAGAATATTTTTACTGCACACATCTTGGATGTTTGTTGCTTTTTAATTAGGAAGCTGCTTATTGAATTTTAAATATTGAATTCAAGATCAACCGATAGTAGATGCTCTTTATTACACTTGTAGCAAAAAGATAGAAAATCAGAATTACTTCAAAGCGCTAACGATGCTGCAAAGAATCAACTCTACTTTATTTTGTAAATTAAATTTTTTTTGGTGATAAATAGTGCTTTTTACATGGAATGTTAGACAAAGTGATCTAACTCTACTGAAGTTTAGAGCCCTTCATTCTAACATTATACAAAAAAAAGCTACCTTTCTGCATAACACTAATATTTAATCACGCTCTTTTTTGTGCCATATTTACAGGAAAATAGCTAAATGTGCAGGTATTATTTATTAGAATTCATTTACTGAAGAATATAGAACATTTGCGAAAGTCTTAATTTTTGTTTTTTACCTTCTAAATGCAGAAAGGATATTAGAAAATATTAGGCAAATATTGTTTGAGAATAATTTTGTGTGAAATTATATTATTCTATTACAATAAAACATTTCCTACTGTTTAGACAAAGTTGAGGAATACAGAGTACAAAAAGAAGATGTTAGAACCTTTATTAGACAGGGCTTTTTCTAATAGCACTTTTGAAAAGGATGGCATATTCGAAAATAATTATTTATATTAACCCTATAAGCATTCATCTGTCAGTGCCCAATTAACAATATAGAATTTGAGTAGCATTGGGGTCGGATGCTGTTACTGAAGCGTAGACATTGCTTTCTTCAGCAGTTGAACCATTATGGGATAGACTGGTGCAAACTCCTTTCCTTCTCTTGTTCTTACCGACTGAACATAAGCTTCCAGTGCGCCTCTGAGTTAAAAAATAAAAATAAAAAAAATAGAGGATCATTTTCATTGTAAAGAAGTTAGATTAATTAATTAGTTAAGTCTATTAGAAAACAATTATTTGTGCAGCAAGATATTGGGACCCAAAGTAGATTTGCAAGCTAGAACCGGGAATACTAAAAAAGGTTCTTGACAGCATAAACACTGAACAGCCATCTCCGCGCTCTCGCTAAACCAATGTTTTCCCAAACTGTTGGAAGCTCAGCCCCTCCCCTCTCAAAAATCAGGAAAATAAAATTAGTCACAACCAATCCTCCAATCCTGTGCGATGTTAGACATTTTCATTTATGATTCTTCACAATCCCATCCTCCCACACCAGTTTTGTGAAGATCTACTTCATCTCCTTTCAGCAGTGAAATAATTAGTGGCCGTTTCTGCCTCCCAGTGATTGCTTCAGGCTCTCTGTAAACTCAGGCAGGCATGAAGTGAATGTGTTCTTCTCAACCAGAACAGCTAACTTTTTCTTTTTAATGAAAGACTCTGGAAAAAAATCGAGAGGGCTGTAGGTGGCTCCTCTCTGCTCCACCTTTTGGGAAATACTGCTTTTACTGATAACACATTTTCACATGTATGTGTGCATTTCTACTGGATTTTTCTTATGCAACTGTCATGCATGTTGCCAGGATAAGTATGTAGATTAAGGCCAGAAGAGATGATTATGATTATGTAGTCTGACCTGTGTAACACAAGCCATAGCTTTCACCCAATAATGGGGTTGAACTAGAGCATATCTGAAGACAGAACTGGGTCCTGTGGGCTTGATTTATCAAAGGTGGTTTATTAATATTAAATGGTATGCCCCAGTTTTTAAAATAAACTAGATTTTGATTTTTACTGTTAGATGAGAAAATTATTAACACTACTTAGTTGAGTATTTACCAGTAATTCAATTTACTGTCAGACTCCTCTTTTTCCATCCCACAAGAGAGACAGATGGAACAATAGTACCAACTATCCAGTAGCAATAAAGTTGAGAGTGAGAATTTACCTCTAAGCTCCAGTCTGATCCTCCCTTTCCGTTAGACTTTACCATAGCAAAAAGGTAGAAAAGCTTAGAAAAATAAGCAGCAGTCCCCTTCCTCAGAGGGTGGATTAGGGAAGAGGAGCTGACAAACTAGTAAATAATTTTCCCTTGTTATACATTTCTTTTCTCCGATTTAGTAAGAATCAACTCAAGGCCAGTTGGTTACAGCATGAACACTTTACCTGATAGTGCTATTAGCAAAATTCTGCCAAAAGGCAGGTTGAGCCGTTAGCAGGTCAAGCTTTGTGAATGAGTGCATGGCTGCCTTATTTCAGAAGCAAATGGCTTTGCCCTCATCAGGGGATGAGGAAGGCTGCCCTGTTTGTAAACTAGGCAACAACCTCCTTTATCCATCTGTTGAGGACAGACTTAGCAGCTCTATTTTCTTTATAGCATCCCTCAAAACAAACAATTAGAATAACAAATTTTTTAGAATGCATTTAAAACCCACGGAATGCAGCTTTCTATTCTGAAACACAGCTGGGACAGGGCAAGAGGTAGAGATTAAAATAGGCTCACTGATATGGAATTCCTTGTTCACTTGTAATAAAGTCTAGGCCACAGGGATCGGCAACCTTTGGCACGCAGCCCGTCGGGGAAATCTGCTGGCGGGCCGGGACAGTTTGTTTACCTGCAGTGTCCGCAGGTTTGGCCAATCGCAGCTCCTACTGGCCGCGGTTCGCTATTCCAGGCTGTGGCAAGCAGCATGGGCCAAGGGATGTGTTGGCCACCGCTTCCCACAGCCCCCATTGGCCTGGAACAGAGAACCGCGGCTAGTGAGAGCTGTGATCGGCTGAACCTAAGAACACTGCAGGTAAACAAACCGTCCCGGCCCACCAGCGGATTTCCCTGATGGGCCGCGTGCCAAAGGTTGCTGATCCCTGGGCTAGAAGATGAACAACTATTTGTCAGGGAGGAGGGAGAGAAGCTGAGGAGGATGGGGAAGTTTTATTCCTCAACTCTCATAGCAGCCTTTAGGGTGATCCATTTGAGAGGGAACTTGCCTAAAGGCTCAAGGGGAGAGGAATCCCATTGAACAAGAGGGAAATCCTGCTGAGGAGTAAAATGGGCTATCATGGTTTCACAGCCCACTTTTAGTGTAGTTGATAGTGATGCTGAGGAGGTAGAAGGCTTCACATCCTATAAATACTGACCTGGACTGTCGATTAATCGCAGATAACTCACGCATTTAACTCAAAAATTAATCGTGATTAATGGCACTGTTAATAGAATACCAATTTAAATTTATTAAATATATCGATTTCAATTACAACACAGATACAAAGTGTACAGTGCTCACTTTATATTATTTTTATTACAAATATTTGCACTGTAAAAATGATAAAAGAAATAGTATTTTTCAATTCACCTCATACAAGTACTGTGGTGCAATCTCTTTATCATGAAAGTGCAACTTACAAATGTAGGCTTTTTTTTGTTACATAACAGCACTCAAAACCAAAACAATGTAAAACTCTTGTAGCTGGTGTCACAAGATATTTACGTGCCAGATGCGCTAAAGATTCATATGCCTCTTCATGCTTCGGCCATCGTTCCAGAGGACACGCTTTAATTAATTAGAATGCAATTCAATTAATTGAGACTGAACTCCTAGGGGGAGAACTGTACGTCTCCTGCTCTGTTTTACCTGCATTCTGCCATATATTTCATGTTACAGCAGTCTCGGATGATGACCCAGCACATGTTCATTTTAAGAACACTTTCACTGCAAATTTGACAAAAGAAGATACCAATGTGAAATTTCTAAAGATAGCTACAGCACTTGACCCAAGATTTAAGAATCTGAAGTGCCTTCCAAAACCTGTGAGGGACAAAGTGTGGAGCATGCTTTCAGAAGTCTTAAAGAGCAACACTCTGATGCGGAAACTACAGATCCCAAATCACCAAAAAAGAAAATCAACCTTCTGCTAGTGGCATCTGACTCAGATGACGAAAATGAACACGTGTCGTTCCTCATTGCTTTGGATCATTATCGAGCAGAACCCATCATCAGCATGGACGCATGTCCCCTGGAATGGTGGTTGAAGCATCAAGGGCCATATGACTTGTTAGTGCATCTGGCATGTAAATATCTTGTGACGCCAGCTACAACAGTGTCATGCAAACGCCTGTTCTCACTTTCAGGTGACATTATAAACAAGAAGCGGGCAACATTATCTCCTGCAAATGTAAACAAACTTGTTTGTCTGAGCGACTGGCTGAACAAGAAGTAGGACTGAGTGGACTTGTAGGCTCTAAAGTATTACATTTTTTATTTTTGAATGCAGGGTTTTGGGGTTTTTGGTACATAATTCTACATTTGTAAGTTCAACTTTCACGATAAAGAGATTGCACTATAGTAGCTGAATTAGGTGAATTGAAAAATACAATTTCTTTTGTTTTTCACAGTGCAAATATTTGTAATCAAAACAAAGTGAGCACTGTACACTTTGTATTCTATGTTGTAATTGAAATATATTTGAAAATGTAGAAAACATCCAAAAACATTTAAATAAATGGTATTCTATTATTGTTTAACTGCGAGATTAATCGTGCACTAAATCAGAATTAATTTTTTTAATCACATGATTAATTTTTTTCATCGCTTAACAGCCCTAGTACTGACATTTCTGAAAGTCAAGGGCTCTAACTGAGCAAAGGCATAATGAGATCCAGTAGTTGGAAGCTGAAGTGACAAATTCAGAGCAGAAATAAAACGATGAAGGCAATTAACCATTGGAACAGATTACCCAGGCCTGTTGTAGAGTCTCCATCATTTGAAGTCTTTCAATCAAAAGAGGATGTCTTTCTAAAAGAGATGCTCTAGATTAACCAGAAGTCAAGGACTGGATGCAAGAATTGCTTGGTGAAATTCTACAACCTGGTCATGCAAGAGGTCAGATTAGATAATCATATTAAAGCCCTTCTGGCTTTAAATTCTATTGGTA